CCGGGGGAGCGGGGCCAGCCCGAGAACGGCAGCGAGTGCCGGAGCGGGTACGTGCGGCACAACAGCTCCTGCCGCTCCGTCTGCGACCTCGTCCCCAGCTACTGCCACAACGGCGGCCAGTGCTACCTGGTGGAGAGCCACGGGGCCTTCTGCCGGTAAGGGACGGGGACCCCGGGTCTGTGGGGAAATGGGGGGATGGTGGGGGGATGTGGGGTGCTCTCCATCCTTGTGCATCCCATCCCTGGGCTCTCCCTCCCTGTGATCTCCATCTCCAAGCACCCCGTTCCCAGGCTCTCCATCTCCTGTGCACCCCATCCTTGGTCACTCCATCCCTATCTCTGGGCTCTCCATCACCTGCACCCCACCCCTGGGCTCTCCATCCCTAGGATCTCCAAGCACCCCATCTCTGGGCTGTCCATCTCCCTGCGTCCCATCCCTGGTCACTCCATCCCTGTGCACTCCATTCCCAGGCTCTCCATCTCCTGTACACCCCATCTCTGGTCACTCCATCCCCATCTCTGGGCTCTCCATCCCCCTGTGCTCCATCCCTGGGATCTCCCATCTCCAAGCGCCCCATCTCTGGGGTATCCTTCCCCCTGTGCCCCATCCCCAGTCACTCCATCCCCATGCACCCCATCTCTGGTCACTCCATCCTTGTTCACCCCATTCCTGGTCACTCCATCCCCATCTCTGGGCTCTCCATCTCCAAGTACCTCATCCCTGGGCTCTCCATCCATCCCATCCCTGGGCTCTCCATCCATGTGTACCCCATCCTGGGTTTTCCATCTACCTGCACCCCATCCCTGGTCACTCCATCCCCCTGGCACCCCATCCCTGGGCTCTCCATCCCCATCTCCGGGCTCTCCATCACCTGCACCCCATTCCCAGCCTCTTCAGCCCTTTGCACCCCATCTCTGGTCACTCCATCCCTGTGCACCCCATCCTCGGTCTCTCCGTCTCCAAGCACCCCATTCCTGGGCTCTCCATCCCCCTGAAACCCATCTTTGGTATCTCCATCCGCATCCCTAGCCTCTCCACCCCCCAGAACCCCATCTCTGGGCTCTCCATCCCCATCCCTGGTCCCTGGGTACCCCCATTCCCGATCACTCCATCCTTCTGCACCCCATTCCCAGCCTCCCCATCCCCTCTACACCCCATTCCCAGGCTCTCCACCCCCCTTGCACCCCATCAGGGTCTCTTCGCCCCCTCAGCCCCGTCCTGCTGGGACACGGAGGGGCTTTCCCTGCCCCCCAAGCGGTGGCTGGCCAAGGAATTAGGTCAGGGCCGCGCAGCCGGAGCTCCGGGGCCGTCGCACTAATCGGCCCCGGCAGATTGTGCCCGGGGAGAGCCGATGCCCGGCTGCGCCGTGGGGCTGGGCACACGCCGTGGGGCTGGCACCGAGCCCGGCTGCATAGGAAGGGGAGGGGGATGAGCATCACCCCGGTGTGTCCCCCCCACTGTCACCCATCTCACCTGGCCCCAGTGTTGGGGGGCTCACAGCCCTTGGGGGACCCGTTAATCTCATCCCCCCCCCCCCTCCATCAGACACCCGTAATCCCTCCCTGATTGCAGATGGTGATGTCCTCTGAGGATGCGTTTGTGGGG